TTTAGGGTTTAGGGTTTCATTCCTTGTAGGGTTCCTGAAAAGGGACACTCCAAGAAACCTCGTGGGGGGGGGGGGTCTCCTTTAAAGGAACCTTTTAGGGGGCCAAGGGTTGCAGGATCTAGATCGAACTTAGGGTTTAGGGTTTAGACATCAGGCTGACAGTCAGGGTCTAGGGGGGTTTAGGTGTTCGAGATTTAGGCTTCAAGTGGGATTCAGCTTTTGAGTGGGTGTGGAGTCTCCAGGGTTTAGCATCCAAAGTTACAGGGTTTCGGGGGTTTAGCGTCTCAGGATCTTCGTGCTCAGAAATTTGACCTCCCTATAGTGCGATAAGCGCAGTATCTAGCCGGTCAACCTCACCAGTTCCACTGTCGGCCACACCAGGCTGACTGGTGAACCCTGATAGACACCTTTACACCAATAACCTGTCAACATGGGGGCCCACCCTAAACCCTAAAGTCCCTAAAGCCTGACCAGTAAACCAATAGTTATTAAGCCTAAACGCCCCGACGCAAAGCCACTGCATGACCCATTGCCGGAAAGAGGCTTGTGATTGCTGTCGTTATTGTTCTTTTTACTATTTTTTATTGATATTGCTAGTACGATTATTGCTAATCGGAAGTATTTTTCTTATTGTCATTATTATGGGCTCAAAGAACCGACGTCTACATGGCTACAGGGGTCGGCCGTGGTGGCCCCGGCCGACGCAAGACGCGATGGCCGAACCGCACGGGTGGGCTGCAGACCTTCAGAGCTGCCGGTTTCGTTTAGGGGTTTAGGCTGTTTAGGGGTTTAGGGGTTTAGGTTTTTTTGGGTTTAGGGTTTAGGGGTTTAGGGTTTATGGTTTAGGTTGTGGAGGTTAATTTCAGATACCATTGTCTAGGGTTCCCCTAAGGATTCAATAATGAGTTCGGGTTAAAGAACTAAGTAACCGTTTTGATGTAAGTTGCGATGGTAGGGATCTATATTGAATTTGTATGGTTTCCTTGTTGTTGTAAGCACCCAGGCTACGAGCGCGAGAGGCGGGTGGAATTGAATCCGGGGCTCTTCAAAGGACCCACAGTGGGATATGTCCGTGGTGGAATCAGCAAGCGGGAGCGCAGCTACAATCCCCTCCTGGGCCGCTTTCTAGACGAAGGCCGAGAGCAAGAGCAGGCGCAGTTCGAGGAGAGGGTCAAGAAGAACTTTCTCAACTTCGCCCGGGACGTGCAGTTGCGGCGCGAAGCGCCCTTTGACCTTGTCACGCACGAGAGGAAGTTTGAGGCTTTTGGTCCAGACGCCTCTGCAGGTCTTGAGCCCCCGGTCAAGAAGAAGCCGCCTTTTCCGGATACAGCAGCAGACTACAACATCATCTCCAACCTGCCCTTCAACGAGCACCACTGGGCCCATCCGGATCACCGGCCACGCCCAAGCCAGCGCATTCCGAAGCAGCGGATGGCTCCTGCCATGCTCCACAAGGACTTCAACATCCTCACGAACAAATACTTGGAGCATCACAAGGAGAAAATGGATCGCGACAGGGAGTTGAACCTTCTTGAAGCCGCAGAGAAGCTCCGGCAGACCAGTGCCTTCAACCCCGTGCAGCAACGCTTTTGCGATCCCCGGCACGAGGAGCGGATGCGAGCCTGCGAAGATGCCCTGACGACCGAGATCAAGCTGAGGGGAGAGGAGGTGCAGCCGTTGATCTATCGTGGGAGCGTCACCAATGCATACGACATGTTGAACCACCAGGCGGGAGTTTCCGAGGGTACCTTTTTTTGGGGGGGGTCCTTTATAATAAGGATCCTACTGTTAAGGGTACTTTCTTAGGGTCCCCTGTTTTCGGAAACCCCAGGTGAAGGATCGTGACCTCCTCCACCTCATTGAAGGTGCAGACGAGGAAAGGAAGGTCCGCTTCCGAACACGGCACCAGTTGCTTAGATAGCCAATGCGAGAACTTTAAACTTTTTGGCCTTATGTTAGCCTTATATATTAGGTCTATCCTAAAAAGTTTGAACTTTTTTGGGCCTGGTTGTTGAAGAGAGGTTGGAGGAGAATACCAAGAAGATGGATGTGGCCTATGATGCCAGGGCCATGCAGATGAAAGCCAACAGGGTGGCCCACGAGCGGTTTGCTCCGACTGTCGAACGTGCCTTCAACTACAAAACCTACCTACTTTTTTGTAGGGTCCCTGCGGACTCTATATATATATATATGTATATGTATATGTGTATATATATATATAGTATTATATTAGGGTGTATAGTAGGAACCAGTAAAAAAGCAGGTTATGGTAGTTCAAGGTGGATTCGACATCCTGACGAACCAAGACTTCGGGCAGAAGGGCAAGCAGATCCACACGTCCAACACGCGGCCACACCAGACGCCATGGCAGAAGGTGTGCGAGAACCGCCCCACTCCACCACCCTCCACCTTGAGCACTTCCAGGGAGGTGGCACAGGAAGCTACCGAAAAAGCCGAGCAAGGTCAAAGCGAGGTCCTCGACTTCGCCACTCTGCGCTTGCCACAGGACCCCCAGTCCTGAAACCCTATACCCTGAACCCTAAGCCTAATTTTTGGGGTTTTAGGGTTTAGGGTTTAGGGGACTTGGCCGGGCGAGCTCAGTTCAAACCTGTGGAAAAGGTTCAGAAATCCAACCCCAAAGCCCTAAACCCCCGCAGGACCTGCGAGGAAGTGTTCCGGGAAGCGCGCTCTCGGCAAGGAGCTCGCGGCAAAGCCGCGCCACGCCTCGGCGGCCCCTCACCCCCAGAGGCTTACCAGTACTTGGAACAAGTTTTGATTTTTGCTTGTTGTAATCCCTTGGAAGCAGCTACAGATTAAAACCCTAAACCCTAAACCCTAACGAGTAAGCGGCTTCATGGGGAGTTTTTAGTTTGTAGTGCTGGCCGTTTTGGCTGCGACTTAAACTCTGCAGAGCGAAAGTCCCAGAGCACTTTAAAAAAAAACCCTAAACCCCTAATCCCTAAACCCATGTGAGCGGAGACCTAAACCATCGAAGAGCTAGCCAGACTAGGGCCGGCATAAACAAATGGGCGCGCAAGCGCGCGTCAGCAACAGTCCTATGCGCGTAATGCTTGCGCACCAGTTGCTCTAAAAGCCGATGCGCGCAAGGGGTGTGCGCAAGGGTATCTTGATATCTTATAATGACGACTACGATGACGACGACGGCGACGGTTACTAATCATTTAATCAGTACTACGAGTAGTACTGCTACTGCTATTGCTACTGCTGCTGCTTGCTCCTGCTCGTGCCATCTCGTGCTCTTCCTGCTCCTGGTCCTGCTCCTGCCCATGCCCCTGGTCGTGCTCCTGCTCCTTCTTCTTTGCTCTTAGCTGCTGCTGGTGCTGCTGATTCCGCTGCTGCTGCTTCTCCTGCTCCTCCTCCTGCTCCTGCTCTTAGCTGCTGCTGTTGCTCCTGCTCTTAGCTGCTGCTGCTGCTTCCGCTGCTGCTTCTTCTCCTGCTGCCTGCTGCTGTTACCGCTGCTGCTACTATTTCCACCGTCGTTCGAAAGCCGTGCACGAGGGAGTGTCCCCGTAAAGAGCTTGTGGGAAGGGGGGAAGCGGACGGGCCTGCTTCCTGCCACTGTCGGACGGCGAACAATTGTCAGCAAAGGAGTGGAGGCTGCTCCTCCCGCACCTCCGATTCCCGGAAGCCCGGCTGGCTCAGTGTTTTCCCGCCCGAAGCAGGTGACGCCACCCCTTTGATTTAGGGTTTAGGGTTTAGGGTGTAGGGTGTAGGGTGTGGGGTTTAGGGTTTAGGTGACGCCACCCCTTTGACTGTTTCACACTTGCAAGAGTGATGTCAGGTCGTACAACCGAAAAGGTGCTTGGTTGCAGGGTTTTGGGCAAGGTGCTTGTCTTCATGGAATTTTCAATGGTACTCGCGGGAAGGAAGGTTGCGCACGGCGGTGTGAAGGGGCCCTATCCGTCTGGGTTACAAGAAATTGACTTCGATGCCACCTGCACTCCCTATTTTGTCGGTGGCTATTGTTGTTGGGCTAGTGTGACCAAGTCGGCTAAGCGGGAGTGAAGCCGTCCTATATGATTCCTAAACCCTGGACCCCAGCCATTCCTCGCCTGGAGTGTAGCAAGAGTCCAAGCCCCAAACCCTAACACCCTCGAACCCTGTTGGCCCGTCAGAACGCACGGCTTTAAGGGTTCCTTACGCATGTTTCCCTAAAGAGGTAGGTTGTTTGCCTCGAGACTACGATCGCCTGCTTTTTTTGCAGGTTCTTTTTATCAACCCTAGCTTGGAATGTAGAGGGACCTATAAAAAAAAAGGAGGTTTTGGGTGGTTAAAGGTCGGCCCTAAACCCTAAACCCTAAACCCCTAAGCCCTAAACCCAAAAACCCTAAACCCCTAAACCACTAAACCCCTAAACCCTAAACCCCAAAGCACAGGTCCACAGCGTTTTCAAGCGCTACCTCGCCCTGTGCAGCGGCCGGGTAGTCGACGCCCGAGGCCTCACGAAGGGATATCGTCTTTGGGACAAGTAGTGTGGCTTTACACACGTAAAGATAGATAGACAGACAGACAGAGAGAGAGAGAGATATAGAGATATAGATATAGATAATTAGGTAGATCGATAGATAGACAGCTAGCTAGCTAGCTAGCTAGCTAGCTAGATAGATAGATAGATAGATAGATAGATAGATAGAACGTGTATATATATATATACACATATCAAGAAAAAAGTCTGTATGTATGTACGTATGTATGCACGCATGTAACATGTATGTATGTATGTATGTATGTATGTATGTATGTATGTATGTATGTATGTATGTATGTATGCTTTATTCGGCTTTGAGGCTTGAGGGCTTAAGGTCTGTTGTTGTATGTGTTTTTGAAGGGTTTGAGGGTTTAATTATATGGGATTAAATTGTTATTGCTTCTTCAAGGGCTTGAAGCTTGGCTTTGAGAATTTTAGGGTTTGATTTTTGGATTCACAAGGGTTTTTCAGGATGTAGGGTCTCGATCGTAAGTGCATTTTTATGCGCTTTTGGCTTATAGAGGTTGTGCCAGCGCAGTAGGATTACCGACTTTTGGTTTGGACGACAGAGGCCATGGCTTCCAGGAGTTATGGGTATGGAAAAGGTACACATTCTTATGATTTACGGATCTTTTGCAAGTTTTTTTTAAGGTTTAAGATTCCGAGGAACAGACAACAGGGCAGGGGGAGTCAGCGTCCAGCAACAGGCAAAGTGTACAACACACTGTGTTTTACATATAGTTTACATTTGTTTTATAGAAAATGTACATGTCTGTGCTCTTGTGCACAAATTTTTGCATGTGTGTAAAGAATGCTTATTTTTTCTGTAAATTTGGATCTATTTTGTAAAAAGCACAGCTTGTGCTACACCTTACCCTTTCTCAGGGCTTCCGGGTGTTCCCTCCCCCTACTTCGTTGCCTTTACCTCGGAACCATTGGTAAGTCATAAAGAAGTTGTAAAAACAGCCATGAATTGGGACGTCCTGAACTCATAACATACAAGAAGCTGTGAGATTTTCAGGCATATATATATATATACACATACATACACACACACACACACATGGTGTAGTCCTCTCGCGTCGTGGGGTCTTCAGGGCTGTTTATCGTTTAGAAGTTTAAGGGTTTTGGCTTTTTTGGGGGTTCGGGATATACTGGTGCCCATGATGGTGTTCAAAGTGTTTTTCCAACCAGTCGTTGCTACTTCTGTTGCTGCTGTCTGCTTGTCTCAACATTCTAGGCAATACCACTTCAGGGTCTCGCGCATGAGCGAAGGAAGCGCACGCCTTGGACCCTTTAACATGGATTACTAACTCGATTCCCGAAACTTCCTTATTTTCATTCTAAGATGATCACACCCTAAGCCCTAAGCCCGAAACCTTAGTTTTGGAGCTGAGCCCGCAGCGCTCACTTTAGGATGTAGTTCCAGCAAACCGAGGAGGGGCCCCCGTTTTGAATCACGAGGATCCTGTTGTGAAAAGACCCCGTGTTTAGGGTTTAGGGTTTTAGGGTTTTAGGGTCTAGGGTCTAGGGTTTAAAATTTAGGGCTTTAGGGCTTTAGGGTTTTAGGGTTTAGGGTTTTAGGGTTTAGGGTTTAGGGTTGAGAGCTTCTGCTTAAGAGGGGGTGGGGGTTGCATAGGTGCTGGCCGGCACCTC